TTTTTTTTTTTTCCGCGCACGTGCACGTGCACCACTCTCTCGCGCATGGCGCACAGCGCCCCGCGCCGCACTGCGCACCGTACCAGTGCGCCGCAACTATGTCGTATACATTATGGACACTGTTGCTATTGCAGCACTGCGCCTTTAAAAACAGGACAATCAGCCGAATACTCGGAATCCTGAATTACCTCTTCCATGGACAGTGGATTATCGTTACGGTCTACAGTTCACTCGATCTTGAGCATTGACCTTAGCGCGTAAATATCGCACCATGTTCAACGGAAGCATGCTGAAGAAATTTGGTCCACAGGCCTGGGCCAGCTTGAGATGGTGGGGCAGAGTTTACTGGAGTAGCCTACTTTGAGTTAGCGGACTTTCCCAGTTTCAAAATCGGATATAATGAAAGCTTAAGACGCAAGATATACTCCGTGAGGTGGTTACCTGGACATTGACCTACAAATTCTGAAAGCTTTAACCCACCAGTACTTGGCCCATACATCGGCCGCGGAAAAAAAAACAGAGTAGAAGCAAGCACTTATACAGTTATACTCTTAGAACCAACGGCCCAATGTCTGGGCCGGTACGTTCATCATTGCGGCGGCTTGTTAACTGCCGCAACTTTTGGAAGTACTGGCGGTTTAAGCGGCAAGTACACCACCGAGGCAACCAACCGTCCGGGGTACGATAAGACGCTAACCCCGCTCCCGGGGGGAAGCGTGTATGCCGCATACATAAATAAAATAAGCTGCCTGTTTTATTGTGGCGGCTGTGTCGACTTGTTCGGGTGAGTTGCATTATCAGAGCCACAACCTTCTAAGTTGAAGGTCGCAGGTTCAAACTTCAAATCCTGTCCGATGCTGAATTAAACATTTCACCGGTTCAAGAGTGGTGTGCCGAGGCCCTGAGGTCATACATGAACCTAGTAATGTACATCCCTTCTCAAAAAAACCGTCTACATACATTGAAGGCCTCACATTTCGAAAGTTTGTTTTTTCCAACTCGGCCTTCCCATTCGGAAAGGAAGCCCCAATTCTACATACCATCTTCCCCCAAACACAACACACCCTGATTTTGAATGTCTACAAGCTATCTTTCCAGTCCGATACAGTCATGATTTTGAAGGTCCACAAGCTATCTTTCCAGTTCGATACAGTCATGAGGAGGGTGCGTTAAGGTAGGGGAGAAGACGGTAACTCTCCTCATTTCTCTCAGCACTTGCAACTCCTCTCCAAATTCTAGCTACCTTCTTCCCCCGAATACAACGTATGGTCATTATAGCTGGTATCTAGACTGAAAGGTTCCTCAAATACAGTTTTAAGGACTGTATGTTGTATTCGGGGGAAGAAGGTAGCTCACTTTCTTCATTCCTCTCGGCACTATATAGCCGTGACGAGGGTACAGAAACAGAAACTCAGTGAGAGTCAGTGAGAGCCAGTCAGAGTCAGTGAGAGTACGACGAAAGGAACTGTATCAGTAGATTCAGAACCCCTTCCCACTTTTTCAGCCCTTGTTTTTGTGATGAGGGTACAGAAACAGAAACTCAGGGAGAGTCAGTGAGAGTCAGTGACAGTATGGCGAAAGGAACTCTTATCAGTAGATTCCATACTTGCGGCGCATCGGCCCTGTGCGCTGCACGGTGCACTGCGCAGCGCGTGGTGCGCAGACCCGAGGTGCATGCGCACCGGCACGCGCCACGCACCTGGCTGCGTAGTGCGCTGCGCACAGGGCCGGTGCGCTGGGAGGTGCGCTTGCGGGCCACATATGCGCCAGGTGCGCACATCATATATATATCGTCACAAATAGAACTGCCCGGTAAACCGTAGGCAGAGAGAGAGAAGAGGACAACAAACGAGGGGCTGTGACAAACTGTTTCGTCGGAGTTTC